CAATTTATTACAACAACAACAAAAAATAAGAATAAAAAGAAATGGTAGAATAGCAAAATTAATATAAAAAAAAAACAAAAAAACAAAATATCGAGAACAAACGGCGCTTTTGTTTTTCAATTACGACACGGCAACAAAAATTAACTATAATACATGAAATGGACGGTTAATAAAACCGATACTATAAATCTTGAGAGTTTCTTACCGCTAACGAAAGCAAGCCTACTGTCTACTCTAGACTTAACGAAATTGGCCACACCCCTCGCAAATGATCGCACATACGGGACAACAAAAAATTTTTTATTCTCCTTCACATCCTCGAGAACTCGCCTAAGTTGACCTTCACTCTCTACACTACCATTAAATAAACCTTTGAGACGTTTACCATTTGCGAGGGGTGTGGCCGATTTCTTTAAGTCTAGAGTAGACAGTAGGCTTGCTTTCGTTAGCGGTAATAAACTCTCACGATTTATCCGTGTTCACAAGGATCCATTGCCTTCTTCATTTAGATCTAATGTTGTTTATTATATAAAATGTAACGATTGTCAGGCTTCATATGTAGGACAAACGAAAAGATTGCTCAATATACGCATTGTTGAACATAGAAGCCACATTCATCGCAATACATCGCAACCATCCGTTATTACTGACCATAGAATGGAATATAATCACAATTTCGATTGGAGCAACGTCCGGATATTAGATGAGGAGCACTCGTATAGGAAGCATCTTGTTTCTGAGATGCTCTATATTAAGAAGCAAACGGCCGGTCTCAATTTACAAAGATACGGAGTTCAGTGGCGTAGTAAAGGGGGGGGAAGCGGGGAGGTGGTCCGCTCCGGGCGCCGTCTTAACAAGGGCGCAATGAAGCAATATGTAAACGCATTTTTATTGCTTAAAGCTCGAGCGTTATTTAATTTAAAAAATTTACTAGACAGCGTAGCGTTTGAGTGACAATTGGGTTGAATGTTCGTTGTCGGTTCAGCATCTTCTTAATGCGCTCTTTTCTTTTTTGAAACAATCGAGTAGCGCAAAAACAGACGAGTCGTTTACACTTTTCTCAGTCTCCAACACAGACAACTGTGTGAACATATAGCCAAATGTTTTACGATCGAGATACCATTTCTTTTTTTTCTGCGTTTATTAACCCGCAGATCTTTAGTTTTTCTTGGATCTTTCAAGAGAAAGTATTAAAACAGCGCAAATTCTGTCTGAATTCTGTCCATAAAAGTGCACACGTGCTCACACTTATATACAGTAGACTCTCGCTATAGATCCGTTTAGTCTCTCGCTATAGATCCGCTTTCTCCTTCACACGTACTTTCACGCACACATAAGTCACTCTCCTACCATGTCTACCCGCGCGGAATCGCGGCGGCTTTACTCTGCTGCTCCCCACCATGCTCAGTAGTCTCGTGCATCGTGCCTGATCGTACTTGATCGAGACGTAGAGGGGGCTCTCGTTATAGATCCGTGTAAAGAGTAAACTGGTAAGTATTTAAAACTAAAACGCTCATCATTTCTAAAGAAAAATACAAGAAAAACAAAAACCTCAAACGATTTTTTAAATATAAGGTTTTTATTTATTTATTACACACATATAAAAAATATTATTATTTATGAAGGTTTCTATTTGTGACAAAAGTTGCGCAAACTTTTCCTCAAATCAAAAACTCGAGATATAAATATTTATTTTGCTGTTTATATTGTAACAGATAGTTTAAGTTAAGAGAATTTGCAAAATTATGTCTAAATTATCTCTTGCCTGATGTTTTCAAGATAAATAAATAAATTACAGTTAAAATGAGCAAGAAACCTTCAGGTGTTGCATTTAGAAAACGAAAGGTAAACAAAGATAGAAAAAAGCAAAAGCAAACTGGTTCTTTTTTAAAGTACTTGAAAGAAGAACAAAAGCTGATTTCTTTGTATAATAAAACCAGCAACGCGAAAACAGATGATATTCATATTGAAAGTGAACAGCTTGAACTTACTATAAGTTCGAATATTACAAAAATCGAAAATCAGGAGACTGAAATGATAGTAATAAATAAAACACCGAAAAGTTATCACGAAAGTCATAACGACTGTCAAGAAAGAATTGCTACACAACAAAATAAAAATGAATTAAATTCCTTTAGTTTAAACGATATAAGCTCGTGGCCAATATCTTTAAACGATGCAGTAATTACAGAACTAGTTACAAACGGCCCAATTCAAAATAAGGAAGGACCTTTTGCTCCAGCCATAAGAAATGGTACAGAAACTAAAGGTCAAATAAGAACTATGTCTAGTGCGTGGTTTTATCGACAACTTGATAATGGTGAAAAAATGCTTAGAACATAGATGGTATACTCTATAGTTGATGAATCTTTATACTGCTTTTGCTTTCGGCTATTTGCTTCCAAAGATTCAAAACACGTAAAAAGCGTTTTTGCAAAAGATGGTTTTCGACAATGGTGGAAACTTAATCCAAAAATATGTTACGTCCTGGAGACTCCACGGTCCCCTTTTTCATGCGACGCGACGCATAGCAAACCCCTTTTTTTTATAATAAATAACTCGAACGGGTCTCCTATCGTTTGGAAACTTAAAACTCCAGACGATAGGAGAACAAACAAAAATTATATCGGCGTCCGGAAAGATAAACTGCGCCTAGCAATAACACAAAATTTTAGCAGCTTTCCAAACAAACCCAGATATCTCCGGGTCATGAAAACGTCGGTCATAAAAATTAGAGCGGCCGGCGCAAATAGAAACTCCGGCATTTTTATTACAAACAAACAACAAGGGGCCTATGCGGCGTGATCGCAAGAAACAACACTCTCCCTTTTTCCTTCCCCGGAAAATCGGACGAGGCGACCGAAGCGAGAGATCGTCGCCGATTGGCGATCTCGGAAGTCGCCCGACCGACTAATTAACAAATAGGAACCAGCAAAGCTCAACTGGGTTCCCGATTGGGAGAGTCCTCGCTTACTAAAACAGTATATAAGCCAGGGCTCTCGGAATCGGAAACTCAGTAAGAATCGCGCCGCGTGTTTGAAAGGAGCCGATCTCAGTGAGCAAAATAAGCATAAGTTACAAGTGCAAGTGCGAGTGCGAATAGTGTGTCGAGAATCCACCCAACACCGAAGCCGCACCAGGTTCCGAACCACCCAGCCAGCCGCACGGGCCGAAGGGAAAGGAAATCGCAGCCAGCAGTCACACAAGTAGTAAGTCCACATTGCTATATATATACGGAGGTTCCACTCGCGCAACTAAAATCTGACGTCGCGATCGACTTTCGGAGATATCGAGAAACGGACAAATAATCAAATATATAAAAATTCGGAAGGGCTCCTCGCGGTGCATGACCGTCTCGGGTGGCAGCCG